TCACGGTTCTGAATCTAATCTCACAAAGTGCAATGTAAGACTGATAAATCACCAAAGAGTTCAAATTCAGCAAATCGTTTTTAGAAAATCGATTTTAATCAAAAAGTGCCAAACATCGACTGCTTTACCAAATTTCAGAGTCACCACCTAAATATTTATTTTGGAAAATTTAGGAAACCCTGACTCGTGCCTAAGGCCATGTGTCCGTTATCACCAAAGTTGCCTCGGCTCGGGAACTTGGGTACGAGAGGGAGAGGTCCTGAAATGAGCACCCCTGCTCGCCCGATCAAAGGATCGGCCTCTAATAACATGATATGTTGTTTTGAAAACACATGTGTTCTTATTCCAGTTATTTAGCTAACTTACTATGTGATGCGCACAACACACAAGTATAGACTAAATCGCTCGATTTGGAACAAAACATCTCATGTTTGTTTTTCGAAAATGGTTTGAAGATGCTACTCGCAAGTAGGGTAAAACGCGAATTTTCCACCAAACAAGGTGAGCTTAAAACATGATGATTTGGCACTCCAAGTGGGCTTAAAACTCACATTTTGATGAATTGTTCCAATTCAAGTAATGAAGCCTTCATCCACAGGCATTCATGCAGTTTATCAATTAAGCAAATAGCCTCATAGCAAGCATGTTATCATGGCAGTCACTTACACACATGCAAGGATGCTAAAGCATAAACACTTATAATGTACTCCGAGCCAAAACAGAAAACTAGTTAGAAATCATGCATGATCCTAACTATGTTAAAATGCCTAATGCAACGCATGCAAAGTGCAACTAAAATAGGCTCGGCTATCTAAGATAGAATATGAATGCAACACTTGATAACATGCTTTGAAACACGTATTCAAGTAAGTGTATTGAAATACAATGCGGTTTGGATGATGCGCCGAGCCCGATGCATGCAAGACAAATGAATGATGCAAACATGCAAAGCATAAGGTATGCTAATCAAAACGTGCCCTAAAACTAACCATCGAAAGCAGTAAGTAAAAGGGAGAAAGAAATGGGGTTGGAAGACATGCGCACACACACGCACCCTTATTACAACATTTGCCATCTCGACGGAGGGTCCGAATGAACTAAGCTAATCTAAGCTAAGCTACTCTAACTAATCTAATTAAGCTAATTTAGACTAATTATTACAAACCAATAAAGAAATAGCTAAACTAAGCTACTTAATTATTACAACATTTAATTAATTAACAAATTAATCGAACTACAAATTGATGCTAACTAACAAGTAAGCATTAAACTAAGCTGCTCTAGCTCTGTTTGAAGAAAAAGAAGATGCATGCTCGGTTTTCGCCCCAAAAAGCTCTCCGGTTTGCTCTTTAGAGGCTCTGTTTGCAGGGTGTCCTCAAGAATTTTCTACTGAAACTTACCAAATCAAGGCTGGGGAGTGCACCAGTGGCCTGCCGGCCAAAGATAGGCCTCTGCCGGCCAACAATGCAAGGGTGCTGGCAATCAATGTAGCACTGCCGGCCACTGGTGTGCTGTGACACCAAGCTACAACAGAGCACAAAATAGAGGAAAATTGAGGGTCTCCCAAGAACATGTCTGTGCTGTGCCACTCCTTATCATCCCAAAACATCAAGGAGGAGGCACCATTGGATCCAAAACCATCAATCAAGCTTTTGGAATACATGATAGTCAAAGATCCAATCTTATACACATTCAATAAATGCAATGCAAACAAGACTCAAGTCCACTACCTTAGCATGGAAGATCAAAGGCAATGGAGACAAAGGGAATTGGCTCATTTTCATCACTTTGAAAATGAAATGGACCAATTCACCTTGTATTCAACATAACGTCCGGTTGAACACCATGCAATGCAAACAGCATGCTTATCTTGGCATGTTTTACTTGGTTGATTCTTGTTTCACATTTTAACATTACCAATCCATTCTTTAACCGGTTAAGTGTAATGTGAGTGTCCTCTAACGAGAAGAGGTCAACCAAAAAGGGAGAGTTTAAGGCATGAGAGGGATGATGCCTTTGACTAGGAGGAACCCTCAAAAGAGAGTTGAAGCCATTTGAGCACCAACCCTACCTCATGTTTAAACACAAACTTAAGGCCAAAAAACCCTCAAATCAAATTGGAAAATGAAGAAATGGGGGAGGTTGCAGATGTTCAGTGCTGAGATGGCATGCTAAAAACCTTAAATCAAGTAAGCAATGCAAGCATAGCATGTTGAGGACCAAAAACATCAAAGCTAGTCAATGCCCCTTACACTATAACCATACTAAGCAATGCTCAAATGACCTTGACCATTCAAACCAGACCTAAGGCAGGTCGAAACAGCAGCAAAAACATGCTAGACTTGCAGCAT